GCGATGTTTTTAAAATTCATACTCAATCTCTGAAGAAAGAATTGGAGCTTTTGAACTGAAATGGTACATACAATTTTTTTAGAATATCGTGGACTTAAAACACTAGTTCTCAACCTTCCTAATGCTACAACCCTTTAATACATTTCCTCATGTTGTAGCGACCCTTCAATATAGTTCTTCATGTTGAGGTCGCCCCCAATCACAAAATTTTTAAAAATCTACTTCCTAACTTCAGTAAATATGAGTTTTGCAATGGTCTTTGGCGACCCCTGTGAAAGGGTCGTTTGACCCACAAAAGGGTCGTGACCCATAAATTGAGAACTGCTGACTTAAAAGAAGAAAACATTGACAGTCCCGAAAGCTGAGCTATTTTGGCTCTGAAAGCTGAACTATTTTGGCTCTGAAAGCTGAACTATTTTGGCTCTGAAAGCTGAGCTATTTTGGCTCTGAAAGCTGAGCTATTTTGGCTCTGAAAGCTGAACTATTTTGGCCATGCTGGACGTCATGGTGGCCTGGAGAGAGAGGTGATCAAAGGTGCAGTTTTCAGAAAACCGCGGCAGAGGCAGACCTTCTTGAAGGCGGACACAAGATATTGGTGATGCATGGGCTATGAAAGCACACAGGGTTGAAAAACTGGCTAGAGAGACTTTGTGGCGTGCCATGACAAGTGACATTCTTTAAAGGACCTGTTGAATGACGATGTCTAGGAAGAAAACCTAACAAAGAAGGGAACTGGCTGCCTCATCTCATAAAGACCTAAAATTTGACATTCTACTGAGGCTGCATTTATTATATCACTCCCGTATATTGTTATATAAAACAGCATTAAAAGTCTATGGTTAAGCAGCAGCAAGGAGATCAATATTAGAATTTTGAGAGCATGCATCTTCCCTGTAGCAACATACGGATGTGAGTCGTGGACTATCTCCCAGTCCTTAAGAAAGAGAACAGGGGCTTTTGAGCTGAAATGCTATAGAAAGATTCTAAGAATATCTGGGACAAAGAATAGAAATATTGACATCTTGAAAGATCTGAACATCAAGGAAGATTGGCTAATAAACAACATCCTGTCTCGGAAGCTGAAATATTTTGGTCATATCAAGCGCCACGACGGATTGGAAAAAATAATAGCAGAAGGCACGGTACCAGGAAGGAGGGGCAGGGACAGACAAACACAAAGATGGGCACAGGATATAAATGACTCCTTGAGTATGAAAGTCTTAGAGTCCATGCCGTGTGGCTTTGGTAGTCATGTCTGTCCATAACCTTTTGTCTGGTGTACTTTCAGTCAACACTGACACAGATGATCTTCCATGCCATGATGTCAGACTGTCCAGCATCTGTTCTCTTGGTCATCTTCTGCCTCTCCTTCCCTCCCACTTTCACATCACGATGTACCCCAGTTTTCTGCTTCTCATCACATGAACAAAGAAGGTAGATTGTCTCGGTCTGATATGGGCAATCGGTTCTCTTTGTGAGTCAGTTTCTTTCAAGATGTCTTCATTACTCTTTTTAACCAGCAACACTAGTGAACGCAATACTGTTAAGTTGTGTAATAATTACAGAATGTTGCAGAAGCATCGCAGGCTTTGTATTTTGCTCGTTTGGATTTCATTAACTAATTTTTATCATCATAATTTCTCATTGTGCCTAGTGGCACATGAGGCTTCAGAGAGGACTTTCCATGCTTTCCTGTCCTGTGCAATCTTCAATGCAGTTTTCCATGTCAAAGATGCCGCACTCAGGTCACTTTCCATAGTTCATCTCCATGTTGTTTTTGGGCGCCCCTGTTTTTTCTTTCCCTCTGGTGTCCATGTGAGAGCTGTTTTGGCGGGTATATCAGGATTCATTCTCATAACGTGGCCAAGCCTTTCAATCTTCTCTTGGTTATCATACTGTATAAAGTTTCTTGGTTTGTTACTTGAAGTAGTTGAGTGTTTGAGATTGTATCTGGTCAGAAGATTTTGATAATTCTATGTAGACATGTGTGGTGGAAGGTGGACAGCTTGTGTGCATCCTTTTTGGTCATTCTCCAGCATTCCGCTCCATAAAGAAGAAATGGCAAAATGATGCTCTTGTAGAGTTGGAGTTTCGTTCCTCTGCAGTAATTGTTGGATTTCCAGATTTGCCTCATCCTTCCAAAAGCAGCTCTAGCTTTGTTTAGACGTGACTGTATATCCTCTTCCGTCCCTCCCGGTAGGGACACCACACTGCCAAGATATGTGAAATGTTCTACATTTTCAAGAGTTTGGTTATTTGTGGGCACTGGTTGTTGGTTTGGACTGCTTATCATGATCTTAGTTTTCTTTGTATTTATTCTCAGTCCCACCATTTCTGCTGGGCTGTGTAGTCTGTTACTTTTTTCTTGTAAATGTTCATGTTTATGTGATAGGAGTGCTATTTCATCTACAAAATCAAGGTCCTCAAGCATGGTGAATGGAGTCCATCGTATGCCTCTCAGTGTCCTGTCTACTGTGTTCTTTAGTATCCAATCAAACACAAGGTTGGAGAGGAGAGATGACATAACACATCCCTGTCTTACATCCCTGTCAACTAATTCTTATGTTCAGTTGAAAAGTCGCTGGCGTTGGATAGGACATATGTTGAGAAAACCTGGGAGCAATATAACTTGAATGTCTTTGCACTGGAACCCTCAAGGGTATAGGAGTAAAGGAAGACACCCCTCCCCCCCCCCCCCCCCCCCCCCCCCCAAAAAAAAAAAAAAAAAACTCAGTGGGTAAGAGAGCTAGAGAGTGAAGTAAAAAAATATGGAGAGGGTTGCATGTGATAGTGAAGGATAGAACGACTTGGGATGGGTTGGCTGAGAGCCTGTGCTCCACTGGGGGTTAGAAAGGCAGAAGAAGAAGTTTGCACTTTATTCTGGACAGGTGGCTCTAGATAGCATTGTCAAAATTAGTGCAAAGCAGTCTCAGCAACACTATACAAACATCAACATCCACTGTCAAACAAACAATGGAATCAGTAGAGAAAGAAGATTATTATGGCCTGGAGAGAATGAGGCACCTGGGTGTAACCAGAGGGTCTGGCCGGCTCACTACACTCAGAGGAAAGGCAAGACGGACATATAACCAGATTGTGACCAGTACCATCAGTATTGGAACTCTGCACTGGCTGCTGAAGATGAGGTCGGAGCATGCATGGGAATGCCCTGAGTGCTGTGATGTCAATTTTTGTCTCAACTCAGCTCAACTTAATCCACTGTCACAAAAAAACAAAGGACCACATATCCTTATTTTAACCCACAAGGGTTTAACAGGATCTCTTTAATTCAGTTGTCGGTTGTCATCTCTACAGTTAGGGTCGGCTGCGATGGATCTTCAGTAGTCTCTGCCTGATATGCCTGGATCTCTAGCATAGTCGGCGTGACCGGGTGACGAACTCCTTATAGTCTGGGTTCACTCCCGGGGGTGGACAGAAAAGTCACATTTCTCCTAGATTTACGGTATCTATCATGGAATCAAGGTCGAAAAATTGCGATATCCATAATACCGAGCCTAAGGGTTAACTACTCATGGCTTCTGGATACTAAAACAAACAAACAAACTCTTGTCTCATATCTTGGTTGTACACTCTCTAAGACTGGTGTTCATCCATTTCTTGATGTTGTCTTCCCACTTGTAATATTGTCTACCTCTTGCTGTATGCAGTGAAACTTGGTCAACTCAGTCACAGTAGGAGAAATGGCTGAAGCTTTCACATGCGATGCTTAAGAAAAATACTTGGCATTAGGTGGCAGGACGAGATCACAAACACTGAGTTATTGGAAAGAGCAGGTGCTACACAGTCTTCTCAATGCTCAGTCTACGAAGGCTCAGGTGGCTGGGTCATACATGGAGGATGGCAGAGTGCGTAAGGACATCCTATATGGTGAATTAAAGACACATGGAAGATATCAAGGCCGGCCTCTACTACGGCATAAAGGTGTGTGCAAGTGGAACATGAATGATAGAGGCATTGAGGTTGACTCGTGGGGGGGGGGAACAAAATGCCATGGACCGTGTTGTGTGGAGGGACACATCAGGAAGGGAATGAGAGTGAAGGGAGAAATGATTGCGGAAAGGATGAGACCTGAGCATCTGAGAGGGAACAAGCTAAACACAAATGTTGTCAACAGTGGTCTTGAAATTCAGTGCTGTAATCGTGGAATATTGAAGAGGGTTGGCTAGTAAAGACAATAAAACAAAGGAAATATTTTGGTCACTTGAAACGTCATGGAAGTCTAGAGAGAACAATAATGGAGGGGTATATGCCTGGGAAGAGAGGAAGAGGAAGGCCAAGGAGAAGATGGGTGCAGGATGTGGCAGATGATCTCCAGATGGGTGTATCAGACGCAGGACATCTTGCTCAGGATAGGAAGGTTTTCCGGAGGGTTGTTATGGCAGCGAGGTTCCGCGAGGGACATGCTACTGAATGAATGAATGAATCGTGGAAGACTTGTCTGAATGTGTGCCGGCCCCGCTAGTCACACTCACCATCACCATGGGCTGTGAGTCTCATGCCTCCTCATAGCGTAATAAACACTATCGTGTAGAAAGGTGCCAATCAGTCCGTACACCATTGATAATATCAACTCTGTCCATACTTTCCCTGTTTAGATTAGTGCTTTACTTGCCAACTGATCAGCTCTTTCATTACTTTTTACTCCTGCATGCATGTGTATAGATCCAGATGATAGAGTTTAACTGCTAGAAGAAAGAATATTGATTGTTTATCTGAAATACTGATTAAATAAATAAAATTGATTGAAATTTGTTTATTTCGCAGGATTTATGTGAAGCAGTCGTCTTTAAGAAGCAGCCGGATATTGACTATTGAGGATATCGATTTATAGAGAACCTGTGAAATTTTCAAGTGGGACACCTTTCGACTGCAGTTTTCTTCTAAGTGACGGGAGCGTTCATTCACCCCGAAGATAACTTTGTGGATAATTTGATGCTGTTCTTAGCTCTCTAGTTTTGCTTGTAGTTATCAGTCTCACAATGAAAGAGTTCAAAGTAGTCGTTTTAGGCAGTGGGGGTGTTGGTAAGAGTGCCTTGACTGTCAAATTTGTGTCCGGAAAGTTCATGGAGAAGTATGACCCGACCATCGAGGATTTCTACCGCAAGGAAATAGAAGTGGATTCGGCTCCGTCAGTTTTAGAGATTCTGGACACTGCGGGTACTGAACAGTTTGCCTCCATGCGGGATCTGTACATCAAAAATGGCCAAGGATTTGTTATCGTCTACAGCATTACCAGCATTCAGACATTTCAAGATATTAAAACCATGAAAGATCAGATCCAGAGGGTGAAAGGCGTGGTGCGTATCCCGATGATTCTCGTGGGCAACAAATCAGATTTAGAGAGCCAGCGGGAAGTTTCTTCGTCGGAAGGGGCATCTCTTGCCCAGCTGTGGGGCTGCCCCTTTATGGAGACCTCCGCCAAGAGCACCAACAATGTGAATGAAGTATTCATTGAGATAGTCCGGGAAATGAACTGCAACCCCTTGCGGGATAGCAAGGGCTGTTGTGTTATCCTCTGATGAAGCTTGTGGATATTTACAGTTTTTTGTTTTGTTTTTTACTTATTTTAGCCAAGGTAAGAACCTGTTTGTTTTTGTTAGCTTTGTTTTCTTCAGTATTCTGAGCTCTTGATGTTCATTACTGCAGCTGTCACTTGCCTTCAGTGATCTCGATTTGATCTGCTGTTCTGAGATTGTGTGTGCCTGTTTATGTATGCTTTGTGTGTGTCATCAATGTGTGAGCCTTTCTATTAGTAAGGTTTTCCTGTATGTGTATGCTTGCTTGAGTGTGTGTTGTGTGATTATCTTTTTTAATGTATATTTAAAGATATACATTTATTGTTCTTGCCTTTGTATTTCTAATTCACATTTATTTATTCAATGAATTTTGGGTTAGGGTCACGTTCATCTCCCCAGACAAAGTAGGTCACTTTTCATTTACAAGTTTGTTGGGCTGGTTGACTTTTCTGAAGGTTGCAGGTGTGTCCTGCTATGTTGTTCGTTTTCTGTGGTAATTTGCATTTACGTTTTCATTCTGTGAAAGTGAATGCCTGTGACAAAGGTTCTAGCACTCTCGGGAAGGGGGGGGGGGTGTTAGATCCAGTTGGTCTATGTTTTTGGAGCGTTAAAAGCAGTGGGGTGCTGAAATATACAACACGCAATATCAACGGTATCGCCAAATTTCCCATAACCTTGTGAGAAGGTCATGGAACTCAGGAACTACCAATCAGAAATAAGCTAGTGTGTATATGGGTGGGACGTGAGGAGATTTACGCTACTTTTACCTGAGTTTTGACGTATTAACATAATATGCTTGATATATAAGATGCAACTATCATCTGAAAATTTTTGCTTGGAATGGCTGAATGTAAGACGAGCTTGCATGCCCAATTTGTAACTTTCAAGAAATAAAGTTTGTTCCTTCGTTCGTTCAGTGACAGGCCCTGTTGTTCCAGTTTGGGACTTTGAGTGTTTCTGGGTCTTCTTTTCCTCTTTTACCGCATTGAATATTGAGGGAGACGTATGGTTCTGCTTCCTGCTCTTCTGTCCACCTCAACCACAGAAAAATCGTGCTGTTGTAGAGTATCTCTGATGTTATCTTTCCATCTTGTTCTTGTTCTACCTTATGCTCTTCATCCTTCTCCTCCTTTAGCTTTGTTTGGTGTGGTGTTGCAAGGCATTCTCCCTAAGTGGGCAAACCAATTGATTTGCTTTTTGTGTATGTTGGACTGTTATTACACAAGAAATATTGAATAAGAAACGGGGTTACGGATACCAGGATTAGATAGAGAGAAAGTTGGAATAAGACCATGTCTGGATTATATTGACAAAGAATGAAATGGCTCAGCTATCAGTGGGAATGCAGCCAGATCAAACTACATATGAAACTTTTTACAGTAGAACAACTGGGAGGAAGGCAAGAGGAAGACCAAGAAGGATATGGATAAATGGTGTAGCCGAAAGTTTCAAAAAGATAAACAAATCCATCTTCCAAGAAGTGCAAGACAAATACAGAAAACCGCAACACTTTGTTAAAACCTGAAATCACTGAGACGACAAAATCACGGCACTAGGCTACAACCTGGTATCAGTTAGGGGACAAACCACGAGGGTTACAACCTGATATCAGTGGGACAACAAAATCAAGACACTGGGCTACAACGTTGTATCAGTGAGATGACAGAACCAAGACACTGGGCTACAACGTGGTATCAGTGAGACAACAAAACCACAACACTGGGCTACAATTTGAAATCACTTAGGCGACAAAAGAAGAAGAAGTATGTTGGTCTGTAAGTCTTCATGTTTATTACCTCTCCACCATCTGCCTGGTTTGGCTCACACTCTACTCCCATTCAAACTCTTTTGAGTTTTTATGTTTTAAAGACGGTGATGAGCACACTATTTTTTGGCCAGCACTATGCTGTCAATGCCAAACGTGGACACTTACATCCTTCAATGAACGTAAAATTGTGACAACAGAGATGAAATGCCTTAGAAGAGCTGCAGGAGTTGCAAAGAAAGACAGAATACAAAATCAGATGAATGCTAGGAATAAATCCAGTCTTACAGGTCATCAAATAACAACAAATTAAGTGGCTTGGACACCTACCAAGAATGCTCTGGTACTGTCTGCCACAGCGAGCCACACTAAAACGTTTTTGTGCATTATATACCAGACATTGTCTAGTATTTCTGTGCGGTATATACCAGACATTGTCCAGTATTTCTGTGCGGTATATACCAGACATTGTCCAATATTTATGTGCATTATATACCAGACATTGTCCAGTATTTCTGTGCATTATATACCAGACGTTGTCCAGTATTTCTGTGCAGTGTATACCAGAAATTGTCCAGTATTTCTGTGCAGTATATACCAGACATTGTCCAGTATTTCTGTGCAGTATATATATACCAGTCATTGTCCAGTATTTCTGTGCAGTATATATATATATACCAGACATTGTCCAGTATTTCTGTGCAGTATATATATATACCAGACATTGTCCAGTATTTCTGTGCAGTATATATATATATATACCAGACATTGTCCAGTATTTCTGTGCAGTATATATATATACCAGACATTGTCCAGTATTTCTGTGCAGTATATATATATACCAGACATTGTCCAGTATTTCTGTGCAGTGTATACCAGTCATTGTCCAGTATTTCTGTGCAGTATATATATATACCAGTCATTGTCCAGTATTTCTGTGCAGTATATATATATATATACCAGACATTGTCCAGTATTTCTGTGCAATATATATATATATATACCAGACATTGTCCAGTATTTCTGTGCAGTATATATATATACCAGACATTATCCAGTATTTCTGTGCAGTATATATATATATATATATATACCAGACATTGTCCAGTATTTCTGTGCAGTATATATATATATATATATATACCAGACATTTTTCAGTATTTCTGTGCAGTATATATATATATACCAGACATTGTCCAGTATTTCTGTGCAATATATATATATATATATACCAGACATTGTCCAGTATTTCTGTGCAGTATATATATATACCAGACATTGTCCAGTATTTCTGTGCAGTATATATATATATATACCAGACATTGTCCAGTATTTCTGTGCAGTATATATATATATATATATACCAGACATTGTCCAGTATTTCTGTGCAGTATATATATATATATACCAGACATTGTCCAGTATTTCTGTGCAGTATATATATATACCAGACATTGTCCAGTATTTCTGTGCAGTATATATATATACCAGACATGGTCCACTATTTCCCTGTACAATACAGCAGACATGGTCCACTATTTCCCTGTACAATACAACAGACATGGTCCACTATTTCCCTGTACAATACAGCAGACATGGTCTACTATTTCCCTGTACAATAGTCCATATGTTAACGTGCAAAGGACAGTCTGTCATGCTAAAAATAGGCAGACCCATTATGCATCAATCACGCCTTTGTTTGCTAAATGTGAGCAGTTGGCTGTCTTGTGACTTACTAAAGTGTTTCCGTTTCGGGCCTCGCCTCTGTCGGCTCATTTGGGGAATGGGGAGAAAGGTGGTTGGGGCAGCTTGTGTGTGGTAGCATTACGTGTGTTAAGTACGCTGATTTACAGAGCCGGCTGTACAGAGGATAAAGCTGTCAACACCGGAATCGGAATTGCGAACATTATATTCAGACTAAGGACAGGGTACAATTGACTTCCTCAACAAATGTTCAAAATTTTCGCTGTAGGAAACATGTAGTTGTGTCCCTGCTGCGTGGCACCTGAAAATGCATTGCGTGTGACCAGTGCTGTCATCACACAGGCGATCTGGCCTGTTTTTTTATATATTTTTTTTTAGTATCCAGAAGCCATGAGTTGTTAACCCTTAGGCTCGGTATTATGGATGTCGCAACCCTTCGGTCTTGATTCCATGATCATCATCATGTAGCAGGTCCTTTGCAGAACGTCGCTCTTATCACAGTCTGCATGAAAGAGACTCGGTCTCTCGCCAGTTCTCCCGCCTCATGCATTTTCACACTCAATGAGTCATATTCTGTGCCCAATTTTGTGGAGAAATGGGGCTTTTCTGCCTACCCCCGGGGGTAAACCCGGACCACAAGGAGTTCGTCACCCGGTCACCGCGCAGTCCGTTTTAGCCAACTACGCTAGCGATTCGGGATCAGGCCTGTTTCAGCGTCGGCGAAGACGAGGCTGTGTGTCTGGTACACGAGGGGATATGGACTTTGCGCGATAGCTTTCATAAATGCTACTCGGCTGTGCTCCGATTAACAGTCCTCAATTATCGAGGCGGAAAATATACCCTAACAGGGCCTCAGTCACGTGCCAATTGCGCACTTCCGGGGACTATAACGCCACTGCCTTATTGCGAACTTCCGGCGTCTTCCATCACCGAGAGAAACCCCCACGCCGCGTGAGGCTACTTGCGAACTTCCGGCGTCTTCCATCACCAAGAGAAACCCCCACGCCGCGTGAGGCTAAACTAGAAGGCTAGGACTCACGAGCAAATAAAATGAAGAAAGCTGCAGGAGATGCGGTAGCTTCTGCTCATGAGTCCCAGCCATCTAGTTTAGCCCTGAGCGACGTGGGGGATACTCTCGGCGGTGGCGGAGGTCGCCCAAAGTGCGCACTTGACGACGAAAGTGCTCAATTGGCATTTGACTGAGGCCCTGTTAGGGTATATTTTCCGCCTCGATAATTTAGGCTACCGGCCTCCTGATATACGTTTTCTGACAGAAGGATCGAAGAAGATCAGACTTCATATTAGGAGGTTTAGAATAATCACCACCGGTCCATTGTCCATTTATGTAAAACAGAAGAAAACAGTCGATTACGTTCAACCTACTGCGAGCAGTGTTGGTTATAATTGTCGTCTGTTTTGTGTGTGCCAGTTATGTTGGGTAAGAAATGTCAGTTGCACCAAAACTAGTGGCTTGGAGTGGTACTCTAGCACCTGGGCAGGGAAGCTGCACGCACTAAAAACAACCACATATACA